TCTGAAAAAAATGAAGTAAAGTTGTAGAGATGTAGTAATTACTAGGCTTGTGCGTTCAGATTTGGGCTAATTCAGTCTAATTTGGGACGCTTTGCTAAATTCTAGATCTCCAAATCCCATCGATACAGATAACTGAGCAAACAAGTAGTACAATGGCTGAATAGGTTTGATTCAGTATTCAGGGCTCCACCCATTGCACAATAAAAATATTTTTAAAAATAAATGTCTAAATGCCAGTCATTAAAGGAACAATATAGGCACCATAACAACATCATCAGAATAAAACTTTAGTTCCAGCAGGCCCCCGGCACTGGCTTACCATTAGTGGTTAAGCCTTGATAAAGCCGTTGATAAACTGTTTAACCCCAAGTCTTGGATCCAGCGCCGTATAGTTCTGCCCCTGACCCACTTCTCTAAGAGCCTTCATAAAAACAGCTTGAGAAAAATATGTACTTTTATCAAGCAGTTTTTGTAAATGGGGAGCTGCTGACACTCTCAGCCAATCAGGCTTCCTTTTTAAAGAATCTCAGAGAAGCAGTATAGAAATGGTGCTGGATTCAAGACTTTGCAGTTAAACCTTTATGGTTCAACCCCTAAAGGTAAGCCAGTGCTTGGGACCTGCTGGGACCATAACAACTTCGGTTTCCCTGATTATGTTTCCCATGGACAATACTCCGTCAAACCGTCACATGACCAAGCATTGGATATCCCGAACGTAATTTCTGGGAAAATTATTTGGCCAAACCATGCAAAAGTTTAGTAAACACCAATGAAATGTGCCTGCTATCTGTTGGTTTCCAAAGTGGCTGTCACACATTTAAAAGTTTTCAACACTTTTTATATCACAACACTTCGACAAATATCTGCAAAGATGATACATGTAAGAGGAGTGAAAAGGCAGATTCAAATTTTTATTTATTAGGTGGTGAAAAGAAAACATTCAACGCAATATAGTCTCACAATTCTTAGACTTGGTACAACTCACTCGCCTAAAACTCAGTCAAATCCTTGGCACTAACTATGATGTTATTGAACCTGCTTTTTAACCTGTTAGCCCTTTTATTTACAACACTCCAATTATTAAACTTCACCTTTCCCACAACCACTCGTAAAGCTGCTCATTCAACATCTCCCTTGGACACTACATCATTAATTATAGCCATTCCTTCAGACCAAAATTCACAAAATATTCTAGGCCCAGACAATATAGCAGGCAACTGAAGTCAAAGCACTTCAGTGGCCCCAGCACCCAAGTAATTTCAGGATAACAAGACCAACTTCTAGAATGCATAAATTTAACAGATATTCAACACGTGTAGATTAAATCAGAGGAGTCCAAATAGTAAGTCATTATGTGGGTTTAATTTCTACAACAGGTAGATATTTGCCTTATGAATAGGATTTTTACATTACATTTAAATTATATAAGTCCTAGCACATCGACATTCACAATTTATAGATAAACAGTTTTTCTATGAAAAAGTAATTATTTATAAATTCAGGTTAAACACTAAAGTTGTGCCTATGCTTACATCAGACCTGCCAACAAGACCACCTATACTTCAGACTACAAACACATTTAAGAAGGTCCCTAATCATAATGTCCTTACATCCCTGTAGGTTTTCTTGTAATGGTCCTATTTACAGTTAAATCCCCCCTCTTATAATACTGTAAAGTGCTAAGGAATCTGTTGGCGCTATATAAATGGCAATAATAACTAACTTCCCTTGTAGTCCCTTGATTACTGATTTGCATTTCCACCCCATGCAATATACTGGACTCTAACCTCTGGTCTTAAAGTTCCCTGACCCTCTGTGCTATAGCTGGCCAGCTTTCAATTGCTCATCTCTTAATCTGCCCATGTGATCAAGGTTCTGTCACAGGTCATCCCCTCCACCCCATGGCTTATCACCAGTCACCTCATCTACTGTCATGGTATGTGGCTAGTCAGCCCCTTCAGCTGCTGTGACCTGTCTCATCCTGTGCCCCATCACTGCCTCCTCACCCACCTCTCCCTGATGGCCCTTGTACCCCCATGGCCTGTCACCAACTAGCCACTCCAACCTTCACAGACTGTCACCTCCCAGCCCCTGCACCCCACAGACTGTCACCTCTCAAGTCTTCTACTTCTGTGTCATGTCACCACCTCTATCCCTTAGCACTTTAAGTTACAATGGCCTGTTGGTGACACTCCATTCCGTAGCCCATTTAAACACCTCTCAGCCCAGTGATTTGTCAATGGTTATCACTTTAACTTACAATGTTAAGGACCACCACAATGGCCTGTCACCTCCCAGCCCCTTCTACTGCCATGGCCTGTCACTTCTTAGCTCTTCTATCCCCATGGTCTGTCACCTCTCAGCCCCTGCTAACCCCTTATCCTGTCACCTCTCAGCCCCTTCCACCCCCATGGCTTGTCATCTCTCAGCCCCTTCTACTCCCATTGCCTGTCCCCTCTGAGCCCCTTCTATACTCATGGCCTGTCACCTCTTAGATCCGTCTATCCCCACTGCCTATCACCTCCAGCCCCATCTACCCACATGGTGTTTAACCTCTCTTCAGCCTCTTCCTTCCTCATGGCCTGTCAACTCAGGCCCTTCTACCGCCATGGCCTGTGACCTTCCAGCCCCTTACCCCGTCACCTATCAGCCCATTCTACACCCATGGCCTTTCACCATTAAGGCCCCATTTACCCCCTTGGCCTGTCACCATTCCGCCCCATTTACCCCCATGGCCTGTCACCATTCCGCCCCTTCTACCCCCATGGTCTGTCACCCTCTCTGCCCCTTCTACCCCCATGGCCTGTCACC